GCATTTTTTTAATATATTATTTAAATAAATAATTTCTCCCGAAATTGTTGTCACTAACTAAATTCCTGACTAAAAACTACACAATTTAAAAAAAAATTCACCTTCCTGCACCCTCTAGTTTCCGAGATATTAAAGAAAATGTGTTTTCAACCCCGAACTTTGAGGGCTATTTTCACCCCCTCAACATGGATGTCCGCAGATATAAAAAAATACGTGTCAAATGATTTTTAAAAAGCTACAACATATATCAATTTCATTAAAATCGGCGTGTGACACCTTGGTGATGTCCCTTGTCAGTTAAACATCGGCGAACGCGCGCATTATTTTCGCGTCGGTAATTAGCATATACGCGCGATTAATGAGCATGACCAGCGCCTTTCGAAAAAATAGAACACGACGAAAAATTTCCACGCCGTGCAACCAGCTCCCCTTTCAGAGGTACGCGAAACTTTGCACGCGAGAGCTACTCAAATATTATTGGAACCTTATTTCTATTCGGACAACCTTACGAGGGAAATACTGGCGCGAGAAACGGCCGTTATTTTAGCAGGGAAAACTTTTACATTCAACGGGAACATCCACGGCGTTCCACGGATTGAAAACAGAAAGTTACCTAAAGCTATTCGTGCTTCCCAATCACTATATCCGTATTCGAACGATCGAAAAAGCACGACTCACCGAGGAAACGTGGCAGAGGAGGCGGATATCGAGTCGTTCTCGTTCTGCAGCTCGCAGAGCTCGCCGTTGAACCACCAGGACAATTTAGCGGGAGGCACGGCGTAGACGTCGCACTTGAGCGTGACATTATCCCCTTCGTTGGCCTCGATTCGCTCCTGCAGCTCGATCTGTGGCAGGCACGCGAGCTCGTTCACCTTCACCGCCTTGATCTGCTTGCCGCGTAGTCGAGGAGGAGCGTCGCAAACGGGCTCCGACTCCTGCGGGGCCGCCGGAGCGGATTCCTTGAGCCAGGTCTGCGTGGCTCGCAGTCGACAGTCGCAGAGCCACGGGTTATTGTGCAAAGTGAGTCCACGGAGACTGCCGCCGAGCGGTAACGTCTGTTCCGGGACACGAGTCAACCGATTGCCGTCCAATCGAAGCCACTCCAAATGACGAAGCCCGTCGAACGAACCCTGCTGCACGCTCTCCAGCCGGCACTGACTCAGCTCCAGGTTGGTCAGGTGCGGCAGGTTCTGGAACGCCCCTCGACGAATTTCCTTGATAGGGTTCCCGTTTAACAGTAACTTCATCAAGTTCGAGTAAAAGGGAAACGTTTCCGTTGGGATTTCCTCGATCAAGTTCTCCGACAGGTCTAGCTCCACCAACCCTACCAGACCCGCGAACGCCTTGGGTGCTATTCGACTGATGTGCGACCTGCTCAGGTACAATCGTTGCAGATTGACCAGACCCAGAGTCTGAAAACACTCGGACGGTAGACTGACCAGATGATTGTTCGACAGATCCAACACCTGCGTCTCTTCGCGAGCGCCCTGAGGCAACCCTTTCAAGTCCCGGTTCGCGCACTCCACCCACTCTTTACCGCTTTTCCATTTGCACACACACATACTCGGACAACCCTCCGACGAAGACGTCCAAGATAATAGCATCATCGTGCCGAGCAGGGCGCCTCTCCACCACCAGGCTCGCACCTTCGAGCGCATGGTGTCCCGTTCCCCAAGATACGCGACCACTGCTTTCTAACTCATGTTCCTTGGAATCTTCTACGATCTCCTTCCCAACTTTTCTTTCGCGGAACACATCCTGCACGTGGATCTCAGGATCATGGGTTAGCAACGAGGTCCTCGATCTGAAACAAAAATTCGACAGACTCTGTTAGAAACGATGATTGAAATTTTTACAAAGTAGACCTAGGCATTTATGAAATTTTACTTGTGGAGTAATAAATTTCAGCTCGACGGGTGTTGCACTTTTATTGCAAATTTTTAACCGTACTAAAGTTTCGCTTCGAATTCTATTCGAACCTTTAAAAGTGCCGATCAAAACCCTTAAGACTCGAGACCGGCAACTTTTTAACACTTTTAAGACTTCTGGAGCTCGAATAAAATTTCAAGCGATACGAAACTTTTCCGATATATTTGTGCGCGAAGTGTCTTATGTCGCACCGCGAATCATATCCACGAAAGAATAGTCGTGATAATACTTGTGCCCTGTGTAAAGGGGGAGAACGAGAATCGAGTCTTTACAAGAAATTTGAAGTATTAAAAGGTACGACTACACGCATGTTTGACTCGTACCTCGTAAGTGAAGGAGCTCGCTTTCAGGTACTTCCCTATAGAGTGTGCACACATGATGTTCGTAAATGGACGCTCATGTTCCTAGCGCACTTATATGCAGCCTCTCTAAAGCGATGAGGTTAGCACGTTCATCACTGCACAAAATTTATCGTTTGCAACGAAAGCATCGAAAGTGGGTCGAAGGATTTTCGCAGAACTTGGCGCCTGCGCGGTACTCCTTTTACCTTCCGTACAATATGCCCAGTTTAAGTTCGTTTCTCTACGAGGACTATAAAATTCTCCTAGCGACTCATTTATTAGGTATAAAAAGCACGCTAGCGAACCCTGCCGCCTTCTGCGCGGTACAGATTACTAACCCCCTGTTGCTGGTATACAGCCTCATCCCGTGATCAAGCCTCCAGGTAGTTGCAAATTCATCGTCCGCGTCGCTCGTAAAACATCGACACCGTTGACGTTTCCAACGTTGATACTGTTCCCGAATTGACGTACTGCGGATTAATAATTAATCGTCCGTTCCCGCGATACATTTTCAACATGGTATCGGAGCGCATACTAATCGAACTGCATCGCAACGAACGTCGACGTAGAACGTAGAATATTCTGTTCCTATCGACCGACTGTCGAAAGCCTTCGGTATCGCGATACACGTTGTACACTTCCGAATTACCTCATGGTAGTGTCGTTAATTCCAAGACAACGGATCCCGAATCCCTTTCGAAGGGATCACCCGGCACGATCCGGTGGATCGTAAACCGTTCGCTCGTAAAGTTCGCGTAGAATGGTCGCTATAATCGATTCATCTCGTTGCCAGTGACGATCGCCCTACAGGGGATCCGATGTCCTCTTACCCCAGGAAATCTATCCCCATTTCGTTCTAAATGTTTTATTAGCCGCGAAATGGGCAACGATCGATCGATGGACGAAACTCGAACCGTGAGAAACGTTACAGGAGACGATTCGCTTCGAGTGTCGATACAGGAATCTTCGATATCCTATTTTGAATTATTTCTCGAGATAAAATGCAACGCGTGACCGACACGTCGCTTGGCAACCTAACCTCTGCCAATTTAACGCTGGACCATCCAACGCGAAATTTTTCTAGCACTAACGAGCATGAATAATATATTTGAACCCCATCGAGTATTAGACGCGGGAGGAACGAGCTGCTTGGTAATTCAGCTCGTAGGAGGGCCCTGCGGTGTTCGTAATAGGGTAATGCTTCACCGAGTCAGCCTGAAGACCCTTTTCGCGGTCGAACAGGACGAGTTGCTCGTCCTGCGGGAAGGGTTACCGATCGATGCGTCGGTATTCGGTAATTTTATGCTTCGGCGAAGCGGTTCGTGCTAAAAGATTGCAAGGTCAAGTGCTAGACCCGCCGCTTTTCCATGAATTCCGATAGACACTAAGCTCACCCTGTTTGTTTTATCTACCGAAATTATCATAAAATTGTTTTGCTGCTTCGTGGGATCAGAGGAGTTCGCGTTATCTCGGTTGGGATTAGAGCAAAGTCCTGGAGCGTAGTGTAATTGAAGTCTCCTTTTCGAACCGTGAAATTGACTTCACGCTAAACGACGAAGCGTTATTTGCGATATGTGATTGCCGTCGTTTTATCAAATTTCAAAGGCGAACACGAGGGTGCGACGATATTCTTCGATATCTGCGGCGATGTTATCCTTCTTCGTGCCGCTATGAATCTCCGCGATCAAAATCTTGCCGGTATATAGATTTATCGTTGGAACGACGTATTCGGGAGAGTAGCACCGAGTAGCTCGGTGTATACTTTTATTTCGAAAGATTTTGGCAGGATTTGGAATCGTAAGTGGCGCAATAAGTTACGAACGATTTTGCGGAATTTTCCAATACGAGAGTGTCCTTCGCAATATAAGATAATGCGTTGAAACTGCTATCTATCGTTTTTCTGTGGAATCATTGTGCCAAACTATAAATACGAGAAATTGTCCATGTGGGAACAAATTCGGACGCACACCAACGAGATTTATTGTGCATTGACTTTTGTTTCTTTGGAAGCTTTCCTTACAAATTTCCTTATTAGGATCGGAATTTGCTATCCTAAATCTTACGCGACCTTTGAACTCTTTGAGACATATACGTCGAAGGTGCCTGAACCTGATCGTGGCTGTCGATGACACTTTCAGCTTGGAAAAAACTATCGGAATCTTCGTCCTCGACTTACAATGCCCTAATCGAACAAGAAGACGATCTACGAGGTTCCATCGATCCGACCCAGTGGACAAAACCCACCCTTATACCCCACTCCGCCAGTCCCTTCGCTCAGCCTTAAACCTTTCTTTGGGAAAAGAAAAGAAATCTTGGAAATATTCTGCTTCGATCACGAATTAAAACTAGAATTCTCTTTGTACAAAGAAAACGAATATTTGATCAAAAGTGGATTTTGGCGAGCCTATCTTGACCAAATCGTAAACCCAAAGTGGGTTTATCTGGCGCGATCAAGATTTTTTCCATCGTATCCGCTTGTTCCAGATCGCGTTTCGAAAATTGTTCTGATCACGCTATCGGTGTTCATAAAGGTAAGATAGTGGCCAGGATTGGAAGAGGAGAATCGAGTTTGATAGCGGCTGATGGGGTCAGGAGTTAAAGATCAAAGTCCTCTGGTTCGATTCACGACGGATCGATCAGGAATTCGACAATTTCTCGCTCCAGCGGAGCGAATGGTACTTAAAAAAAAGAAGAATCGACGCTCGGAAGGTTTTTTTTCTCAGAAACAGTAGAGTCGATCGTTGTTAGCTCGTTAACGTCGAAATAACTCCGGTGATAATTTCGAAAAGCAAATGTAGCGGATTTTTTAGATATCTGTAAAGTTGTTTAATGAAAGGAACGAAACATTGGAAACAATGGACCGAAGTTATAATTGCTAGAGTTTCTGCTCTTTTCAAGCGTTTTCCGGTTCACGGTAAACACGATTGCCGGTGGAAGAGTAATCTCTGCGTCCGGACGTAATTTGTTCGAAAAGATTATTTATTCTTAAATTTTGAAAGGAACTTCCGAGAAGGACCCTAGTCCATCACTGTGAAATCCGATTTCGCGATAATAACTTTTGAAACCCGTTCGTTTCTTTCGGATGACTCAGCTCCGGCCAGTAACTTACGGAATTCGACATTTCACCCTTGTCCCACCCTTTCTTCTTCCTTCCATAGAAACTTTCGGATCGTTCGCAGCGTTTAATGCTTCTTTACAAATTTCAAACATCCTTTTAATTTCCACGAATTCCCGATAATGGTTTTATCGTTTTAGTCGAATTCAATTAATACGACGTCATAAATTAAACAAATGAGCTATAAAATTTAAATTATTACAGTTTTTGAAGCACGGGAAGGTAAATCTTTGCGTTATCGAAGAGAGTGGTACAATTGTTCCTTTAAAATTGAAAGAGCCCCTGTTGTTTTCCGAATGAAGGGTGCGAATGTTTATTTTAAGAAACAAAGTAAAGCATCCCCTTATAAAACCCTCAGAAGCCGTGTGTTTTTTTCTTTCTATTGCAAACAGACTTTTCTATTATACATATAGAATAATTAGACGTTTTCAAGAGAACATTATCAAGAGAACTTTCATGCTCTTTAAATGTTATCCGTGCATACTCGTTCCGGATGAAAGAATGACTTTTCTACGAACGCTTCTGCGCGTAAACAGTTCTGTATTCGCCAAACGAAAAGAAATACAGAGAAATGTTTAATCGCGCGGCATTAGTCGCACCGGTTAACCGAATCCGTTCCTGAACAATTGATATTAACGAGCATCGCGGTCGACGTAATCGCGAGGAGAAGTTCGCCAGCTTCATACGCCACGTTTTCCACCACAATTGTCCGTTAATTCAACGAATCTAACCCAGTTTCTAACGCTACACGCGCTCCACCGCATTCTCCTCGTGCTTCGGCCATTTTTCGACTCTTCGGTTCACGGATCGATTCGTTTTAAGGGGATACGATCATTTCTGGCCGCTACATGGAAAAGCCATCTTCCCCAGAACGATTCACGATGGACTTTGGATACAGGGGACACTCGTTGAAAAAACGTTCAAGATATCGGGGCGAATCAGGGGTGAGGATTGCCCCGGGGCGAACAGTGTCCATATATCAGGATCACCGACAAGGCGAGTATTTTTAAATGCTGCATCGACTGATTTTTAAATCGTTTCGAGTGACGGATACTGAAATATAGCTACCTCCGAAGATCCAGAGATACGTGCAACGCTCGTGCAACACAGATTGCACGAAAATTGATCAGGTTTTCTCCGTTGAAAGTTCGATGCCACCGTCAGGTGGTATTTTCACGGCAACCGAGTTTCAAACAGTAAACGAACATTGGAATTTTAATAACAGGGTGCACGAACGTTCTCCATCTATTTTTCCGTTCCAATTCTTCGCGGTTATTTATTTCGACGAATTCGTCGCTGCCATTACAGGCTCGACGACGGGCAAGAAACTCGAGACGAGATTCTTCGAGACGCGGAGTTTATCGGGGATGCTATCGAGAATACATCGAATTCCCATTTTTCGTCTCTTCTTTCATTTTC